ACTTCTTGACAGATAAGCTTATGAGCTCTCAAAACGATACACTACCTGGGTAGTACATTAACACACTACACACATACTTGAACTGAAAAGACTGAAAAGAACTTTGAACTCTGAACTTTGGACTATGAAACTGAATACACGGACTGACAAATATGGACTATTGGAACTGTTGTGAACTGTTGAATGACCGTTTATGATTTTGTTTAAATAAATGTTAAATGTTCTTTAGCTGTGTGTTATTCGCTCCTTAGTCGATTCCTAGAGAACATAAGCTCAAGATCCTAACTTTCTCTACATTCTATAGTGGTAAAGTATTGTGTGTTACATAGATAAGGACTCCGAATTTCTCCTTGAGATTGAAAATGTGACTAACAAGAATGTAAAATGGCAGACTAGTTGCATTGAAAGGCCAGCACTGCATCATACTCCAGAGCCAGACCCTGTTTTGACTGACTCGAGCGATGGAAATGACGTTGACAGTTATTCTGACCACAGTACTACACCCTTGAAAAACAGCAAAGCTAAATTACGACCACAGATGACCCCTTACATCCCAGCCAGTCACCCATTCAGCTAAATCTCAGCCTTGTAGGGTTGTAAAACCAAAGACTACTCCAACCAGACTTCCAGTGGTGACAGACGAAGTAACTAACCCACCAGAGGTACAGCGTATAGTAGTGGAACATGTAATCAGAAATGACTCTGTCGCAACACATAGCCAATCCAAATGGTTACGCTCATTCTCAGGCCATGTGTCAAAACCCCCAGGAGAAGTGGATTTTGAAATGTGGTGTTTACATGTTGAACTAATGTTCAGTGGTGGCACTCCAGTTGACATTCAGTGGTGGAAAATACTAGAGAGTCTAACCCATAGGTGTCAAACTCTGGCCCGTGGGCCAAATTTGGCCCGCAGCCTAATTACATTTGGCCCGCGAAGCCATACCAAATTACTATTAAAGCTGGCCTACTGGTATTATACAGCTAATATATATATTGTTTAGTATTAAGCTTTGCTTGTTCCATATTTAGTTTTTCAGCAAAACGTGTTTGAGTACATAAGAAAAGATTCATTCTTATATCTGGAGGAATAAATATATTTCAATAAATATTAACGTTAGCCCGCTACTTTCAGTTTTGAATTTTGGCCCACTGTGTATTTGAGTTTGACACCCTGGTCTAACCCAAATCCCACTGAGGAGTCCTTACCCTTAAATCTAACCTCTCTTCTTCCTATCCTGTCCTGCCTCTCATGTGTTACTTTTTAGGATCAAATAAGTTTGATGTTTGGAGGCACACAGTGATGCAATAATAACTCGGCACAAATGCATTAAGGCAAAAGTAGCCTGTTTTGAAAATGTAAAAATTAGAAACTACAGATAATTGTTTAAAAAGTTAGGGAGTAAAAGTAAAAATTTAGTCAGAAAAATAAATACTAAAGTAAAGAAGAGATACCTGAAAATTGTACTTAAGTGCAGTAAAAATGTAAATAGAATTGTATTAGCTTTTGTGTGCATTTTTTTTTTTATATGTTTTATACACATTAAGTAACCTGTCAGTACACCATGTGGTTACATTGTCATGATTATGGTTAAAGAAGCAGTGTTAAGGGTTCAATATTGAGGAAGGGTACAAGAGGTAATCGAAGAATAACCACACTGATCCGGCCGGGTGAAGTCAAACGATGATTTTAATACACACGTGGGAAGGTCACTCCGTACGCAGACAGCAATTGATCTTCGACTAATCAAAGCATAGGCAGATATTTTATACCATCAGGGCTTGAATTTAATGATGCCCCTTCAACGTCAGATACATTTCATACATAGGTCAAATCAAAACCACAATGACTTTTAACACAGAAAAGAACATTATCTCTGTCTTCATGGCAGATGTTTCCTGTCAACCTTTTTGACTAGCGCTTCTCCAAAACCGCAGACAATGTTTTGCAGTGAGCTAGCGCTTCTGCAAGCCCACAGTTACAAGCAAACATGATATGTCACGATCTCACTTGGCACTCTGTGTCACCTCTCACCTACTAACGCTCACAGTCAAACAGAGGCCACTGTCAAATGTGTCACAGTTTACTAAAACTAAAGATATAATATAAACTGAATAAATGTTTTAACCAACTGATACTACTTAAAACTCAATACAAGAATATGAACATATAAAAGATAATAGAAATGACCTGATATAAGTGTTTTGTAAGCATGTATTGCAATTCCTTCTATGTTCTAGTTTCCCTCAGCATGTACCACCTGGACAGTCACGCCAGTGAAGCTTAAGACCCTTAATGAACCGAACATCAACTCAAAATAAGCACAGATATGCAATGTGTATAAAATAGCTATAACTGCATCTGGAATACAAGGTTAATATGATAACAGTATGCATAAACATCTTAAGGCCATCTTAAAGCTATCTGTTACATTGTTAAAGCAACGATCATACTGCAGATTATATTGTACTGGTAAAATACTTTTGTTCATCCCCACAGCAGGAAAATCATTTAAAAATACAGATTTTGCTGGTCTTGGTCACTATGTCACTATGTGACCAAG